AAAAAATAATGTTGTTGCTGATATGTTATCAAGTCCTGCAATTCCTGCAGCAGAAACCAATCTTGTAACTGTCGATTTACCTAGATAAAAAGCAAATCAGATCAGACGTGAAAATGAATGATCTCGATAAAATAATCCAATGTTTTGGAAACTCTGATAATTGTTCTAATGTTGATTTTAAAAGATGGACTGAGAGAGGCTACATCATGAACTGTGGCATACTATACCATTATATTCTTGAATTAAATGAAGATGAAGCTCAACAAGTAGTATCGAAATTCCCAAGTTTCCAAATCCTTGCAGAGTACCACGATTCTCTATTAGTTGGCCAATATGATGTAGAACGTACTTATCAAAGAATTGCAAGTAGTTTCTTTTGGCCTGGAATGAGGAAAATCACATCTGCTTATGTTATAAGCGTTATAATGCTACAAATCCTAAACCTGCAGGACAAAAAATACAGACTCCTATTCAAAGACAGCGTTTTGAAACTATCTCTATTGATTTATTTGGTTCATTACCTACCTGAAACGCACGATTATTTTTTACGGATTTTTTACGGATATGCGCACTCGCAAGGAAATGTCCTATCACGCTCGAGAAGCGGCAAGTGCGCGGAAATGTCGGTGTATGTTGGTCTTGAAACGGTTCAGGTTGTAACCTGCAGGGAAAACCGTCGCAGGGAAAACCGTCGAGTTTATTCCACAGCGATGCTGTTCTCCAGAGATATGAATTCTGATATAATGAGGTTCTTGGTGCCTCTAGTTTGACAGTAAATTCATGGTTACCGTCTGTTTGACGGGTTCGCCTGGTAGGCGCTACTCTCGGTGGAATCATACGTGCCAACTCTTCAGAGCATTTTCCGAGATAGTACCTGTAGAAGAGAGATAAATCGCCCACAGATCTGCGATGTTCGAGACCATCCAAGTTACGGGTAAGTGCGGGGTCATTGATCAGCTTGATAGCTCGTTTTTGCACGGTATTCAAAAGCATTAAGGTATGTTTGGGTGCTGCACTCCATATATGTGAGCAGTACTCCATAGTTGGTCGAATCTGGGCTTTGTAGAGTGTCAGCAATTGGCTTGGTGTGTACAGATGTCTTGTACGAAATAGCACCCCCAGCTTTTGGGAGGCCCTTTTAGCAATATCTGCCACGTGACTGTGCCAAGACATGTTGGTCTCTGCAGTAACCCCCAAGATGTTCAACTGACTCTGTAATGTGACAGCACTTCCAGATAGCATGATGTTTGGCTCACCGGTGCTGGTCTTTTTTGAAAACAGAGCTGCTTGGGTTTTCTGCGCGTTGAACTGTACAAGGTTTTTGTTACCCCAGTCCTCTATTATCTCCAGGTCGTTATTTATCTGCGATATTTGAGTTAGTCTAAGATGATGGAATTCACGTGCGGAAAGACCTGTGGGTGGTATGAGTGAGGAGACTACATTGCCATCGTCTGCAAAGCAATAAAGTGGATTTACTGTTTTATCTATGAGGTCATTTATGTAAATCAGGAAAAGAGTTGGCGAAAGGATTGCTCCCTGTGGCACACCAGCATTTATTTGGTAAGAGTTGGAGTTCTGGCTATCCAGTGCAACATAAATGGATCTGTCCTTTAGGTAACTTTCAAACCAAGTGCAAAGTTTCGGCGATAATCCCATTGGAAACTTTGTCGAATGCTTTAGATATATCTAAGGCAATTGTTCTTGTTTCACCCCGCAACTCAATCGCTTTTTGCCATAAGTGAGTGACGTATGTAAGTAAATCGCCAGTTGACCTATATTTTCGAAATCCGTATTGCTTATCATTGATAATTTTGTACTTTTCCAAGTACTTGGTTAGGTGATTGTTCACAACTCTTTCCATTACTTTTGATATCACCGGAAGTAGAGCAATTGGTCTATAGTTTAACGGATCTGTCTTTTTTCCTTTCTTTGGAATGGGTTGTACTGCGGCAGACTTCCATGATGATGGATATACTCCTTGCCTGTAAGACAAATTGAATAATTTTGCGAAAGTTGGGGTGAGTTCGTTGGCGCAATTTTTGAGTACTATTGCGGGAATGCCATCCGGACCAATTGCTTTGTTTGTATCCAGCTTTTTTAGGGACTTTCGTATTTCTCTGTGACAAAAGGGTACCTCTGGCATACTATGGGAAACCCTTTCAATGAACGGTGGAGTTTTTCCGTTTGGCACTGTTAGGTTGGATTACAAATGGATTTTCATAGTAGAAGATACCTACTACAAGTAGATGGATAGAACTTTTTCCATTGACTGCAGCGTCCGCTGAAAAATGTGCTCGTTTCCTAATAGATGAAGTTATATTCAGATATAGCGCTTCCAGACGTGTTATTAGTGATACTGGTTCCCACTATACAGGGTGTCCCACTAAGGTCGGCCAGGTACGATATTATGGAAACCATAGACCTTACGTAACTTGAAAACGAATGCAGATATTGAATTGTAGTTTGCGCGAAAATGTAGATATTTTCTTGCTCTTTAAGCATAGCAATAAAAAAAATAATATCCTGCCATTTGGATTTTTTATGAAAATTTGAAAAAACTGGATCTTGGATAAACAGCGCCCTCTAGAAGACGCAGTGGGAACTATCGACCCCGACAAATTCTGAAACTATTTTTTCACGAGCTTCTCCCACCCTTATTAGGGAAGATACGAAAAAAGCCTAATAACCAAACTGGCGTAAAAATTAATGAACTTTTGATTTCTGGTGTTAAAACAGTACTTTAATATAGCGATTTCTTGAGAAAATTTGAATTTTTAGTTATATCATCGTAATTGCGCCCCCATCAATCATCAATTTTTCTTGGCCGATTTAGTGAAGAAAAAAAAATCCCGAAGCCGTAAAGTCTATGGTTTCTATAATATCGTACCTGGCCGACCTTAGTGGGACACCCTGTATAAGTTGCCTAGGATTTGACCAAATTTTAATTCCCATATACCACCCAGAAGCTAACCCCTACAGAACGCAGAAATCGAGATCTAAAGCCTCAGCTTTCCATAGTTGTTGATAATAATGACCATACAAAATGGAAAGAAAAACTTCCAGCAGTCCGTTTTTCTATGAACACAGTGTATTCCCAAGCTACAGGTTATTCCGCTGCTTACCTCTCACTTTTGGAAGAGAGTTAAGTGATGATGTAATTAAAGATCTTAGAAGCATTGTGGAAAATAACAATTTTGTGTCTGAAATTACTCCTTACCTATGAGATCTTTACCTACCATTCTTCGTCAAGCCAGAGAGTATACATACATGAAATTCATCAAGATAAATCTAAAAAATATTCTGACAAGAACAGAAGAGAAGCACCTATATTCCAGTGTGGTGTGAAAAAGTTCTTGTTGATAGTTACTGCCTTAGTAATGCTAAATATTATTTTTCAACTAAATTTGTTCCAAAAACAGATGGCCCATATCAAATTATTAAAATGGTATCCCCAACTACTTATGAGATTGCATCACTAGATAATTCACAAAAAGTATTCGGAAAATATCATGTGTCAGCATTGACCAAATTTAAATCCGATGATAAAGTTGTCAGTTGATCCGGCACTTATTAGACCATTGAGAAAACGTACCCCGTAAAGTTATAATTGAAGATGATGAATTTGAAGGTGATTTAAGTGATATTATGTTTGAGGATCATTATCATTGCATTGCTGTATTTTTATTTATTTATTTATTTATTTTTTAGTTACTGCATTAACGGGACGTTTCATGGAGTAAGGGGGGAATAATGTAACAAAACTACGTTTATTACCAGTTTTTACGAGTCATTCTTTGTACCTATAGGTTTTTTAATGTTGAGTGAATGTGTGTCAAACTTTTGTCGTCGCATCATTTCTAATTTCATAATACTTTTTATTCAATATATTTCTTAATTGGTATCCTGCACATCCGTTTTCTTGGCAATTCAGAGATTCAGAGGGTGGTTCAATGGGAAAACACTATATAGAGCGTAGGAGATCCCAATCCCCACTATATAATTATATTTTATGTTAAAAATTAGGAACTAAGGAAATCTCACTTAATTCATAGATGGCTCGAATCAGTACCTACATTGTGCAAAGTTACTTGTTAGAATGGACCATTTTCTTTGAATAAAAATGAGCGAAGCTGATATTTCAACTTGTTTCATTCAACAATAATAAACGTAGGAAAATTAAAATGTACAAATCCAGTAAACACACAACAACATAAAGCTAAGGTAGATATTAACTTAAATTTAACTTACCTAAATATAACGTATAATGCCATACTCAAGTAGATGTAAAATGTATATCACATTGATGTAAACCATATTACTTATCTACCTAACAAAGTTTTGCATTTTTGGCTTTGAAAAATTTTAATCATCCGACATTGCATCACAAAATCGCCCATAACATAGTTATTATTTCAGAAATTCTAACCCATATATATTTATATATTCTTAATCAGAATTAAATGCTCTTCAAGATAAAATAAGATTGAATCATTTATCTCGAATAGTTTTCGAGATTTTGAGCCTCAAAGTTGGAACATTGTCTCCAATTTTGGAAAAGCTTCAAAGCCGATTATCTCGAAAACGAAGCCCTAGGGCTCGGTGCCCCAAATCATCTTTTTTGTAGCCCCCATCGAAATCTAAAATGTACCAAATTCCGTAACTTTCCTGATTCAGTAAATATTTGGATAACCGTGGACACTGTGGAATATTGAAGCATTGAAAATTGATCAAACCTATACATGAACCTCAGCCAGAAAATACAAGAAACGAACCTAAAATGAAACAAATGGACCATATATTGATGAAATGTTTCATTTTGGTGCTGATCAAGGACTGAACATCCAAAGAAAAATCTTCAACAACTTGAAATATTGTAATTCTCGCAAGCAGTTGAAGCAAACCAAAAAAGATAGAAAAAATTCAAAAGATTTAAACTTCAAATTAGTGTATTTATTAAGCGTGACTCAAGCTTGTATCTAAAAATTAATGCCCGTTAGATTTTGGAAGGCGTTGAAAATTTATTAGGAAGCAATTATTATTGTTGCAAGAACATTATTGCGGTCAAAGATCAATTAAATAAATTCTCCGACTATAAAGCCCGCATTGATGATAAATAAAACTTTCTAATAATCAATAAAAAAAACAACAAACATTTTCCTAAAAAATATAATGTTTATTACACAAACATCTACAAAAAAAAACTAAAATAATATGCTACACCACAAAAAAAAAAATACATATAAAAATATCTTACGAACTAAGTGCAATGTCACATTATGCGTTTTTAACGCTGCAGCTAGAAGGGATGCGTTTTGACCGGATGAACTTTACTTGTGTCACTATCCCAGCAGGATCCGTTTATGTACAATAGGCTTACACCATCCCAGCAAACCGTAGCGGTGAAAACGCAATGTGTGACACCACATTAAAAGAGATTCAATAAACCACATCACAAAAAATTTTGCTATAGAGAAAAAGCTTATTTACCCTGTTCAATTTTAACAGTGTGACAATGAAAAAATATATAGGTACGAGATCCTCAAGTATTTACATACAAAACTCCATTTATTAAAACATTTAATCTGCTTCATCTCCCTTATTATCAATTATAGATTCTATACTAAACTTTTGACTTTCCGAGGTTACAGTGGCACTAGCGCTGGCCCCTAAATTATGAGTCAAACTGTGCCTCCTCAAGTCGCAATTTCTCCTAAATACTTTACCGCACGCTGAACAATTATAAGGCTTAATATCCGTATGAGTTAATAAATGAGTTTTCAAATTCGAGCGTTGATTAAACGACCTGGAACATACTGGACACTTGTGCGGAGACTCTTCCATGTGCAAAATTTTATGGACAGCCAAAGTCCTCGATTGGCAAAACCCTTTGCCGCACTCCTGGCATTTGAACGGTTTTTCTTTGGAGTGGATGTATCTGGAAATTAAACACAAAATTCATACATAATATTGTTGAATGCCCGGAGGCCTGGTGGTTGTTAATTTTAACTAATAGAGTCATTAGTAAAAGGCATAAACGTTGGCATTGTTAGCCAATCTACTCGCGGGTCGTAAAATAATATAGCCGGCCCATTGTGAAGAATAAAATCTATAATTATGAAGATCTGCCGTGGAAATGGGAGGTTAAAGTTGAAAATTAACTGCGAGTTTAGCTTATAGGCTCGTGTGAATCTTTCAAGAATTTGACCGCCAGGAATTAGGAATTATTACAGTGCAATCATTTGACATTTTCTTATGCAAGTCGATTTTTTTGTAGAATTTTTGTACAGGAAAGAAGAACTCTAAATTGGATCTGTGATAATAAGTAAAAACATCAAGAATGAAGAAATGATGCATTTTTTGCTTTTGAAACGAATAGCATTTCTATACTCTTTGCCTAAGAATTCACGATACAGGCCTCTGAGCAAATCTGCCTTGGAAGAAGTTTTTGCAAAATAATAGTTAGGTAACTGAGGCGTCGGTCAAAAAATATGATGTGGAATAGTACAAAATATTCAGCAAACCTGAAGACAAAAAAGAAGAGGAAATCCCTTGTGTGTGGATGTTACTTTTCCATCTGCAGTATATGCAAATTTCTCAAGAAAAATGATACTATGTGCATTGAAGTTTGAAGATACCAACACCAAGCTAACTTTATGACATTTTGCAAGGCCAAATTATGAATCTGCTAGTAAGGACCCTGACAAACGGAAGAAAGGAGAATTCCAAAGCTCACAAATTGGGACTTGGAAGTTTAATAAAGCCAATCTATACAGGGACAATCCATACTCCTAGAGTTTATGAGTTTTTAAATTAGTATTAAGTCTCTCTGCTTTCCTCTACAGGGAATATTGTTAAGTGTAATGATATGCATAAGTCTGAATAATAAAATTCATTATTGTCGTGAAATTTGTAGTTAATGTATCTGCAGAATTTTCTCTGAACAGTTTCAATTCGATGTGAAATGTGATCTGACATAAAAAGAGTACAAATCTAATGGCAATAATAATCGAGAAACCCCTTGTGCTGCGTTTCACAAAGCCAAGCATGCGTAAAGCCTTGTTGATTGTGTTGTCAATATAAGCTGGAAAATCTAGATTTGAGGTTAATGTCACACTTAAGTCTTTGCTTTGATCCATGCAGCAAATGTGACAAAATTATTGAAGTTTCTAGAATTTTAAGATTTGTTGATTTTACATTTGAGAACATTAAGATCCATGCCATTGGCATGGCACCATTGTGACAATGTGTCTAGATCTTCTGAAGAGCTAGAGAGGTTATTTTTACAGTCATGAGCAAACAGAACAAATAGACCTTCACCTCTTTCCAAGGTGTTTGTCAGGATGTCCACATAAGTGAGGAGATTTAGTTTGGTAGAAGAGTGTTTTTTGTGTGTATAATTTCAGGTCCAAGGCAAAATGTTGAAAATTTTGTGACTATATTTTCAAATATTTTTTGAAATAGCATTGTGGATACTTATAGGGCGACATTTTCTGAATCACCTGACCTAGATTTCGTGCACGTGACGTCACTAAATTGACACTGGAGGTAAGACAACCTAACCTTATCCCATTTGTTTGTATGGGAGTTGGAGTGTCATGCTTTCTTCTTTTGATATTTTCTCGGTGTTTCAGTTATATTTTTATTTGATTTGCTGTTTACTAGTTTATAAAGACATTTATTCACGTTCATACTGTATATTCTGCGGCATTGTTTTTACATCCTACAACGGCACAATACGAGGGTATTTTGACCCTAATCTACATATACTATCCTAGGAAGTGAATTATATTTCAATTAGAAACAATTTTTCAAAGGATTAGGAGAGCTAGATGGCAAAATTTCGAAAATACACAAATTTTTAGGTTATGTTACCTCCAATATGGTCACGTGCCGCACGAAACCCATGACAATTTGCAATTCTGCACTTCCTGTAGCATATTCAGAAAATCTTATAGAATCGTAACTATTTCTGATCGGGTGTTTGGCAATCGATGCGTTTTGCAGTGTCTATACGCTTTAGAAAGGTATAAATTTGGTTACAGATGTGCACAGAATTGACGTAATAATTTGTGAAATGGTACCGCCAAACTTGATTTCCAAAAGTCTGGAAATATACCGTTCTGTAGCGATTTGTTGAAAATTATATGCAGATTTCGAACAAAACAGCAGTTTTCCAGAAACAATGGATAAACCTTATCAGGTTGAACCACTGTCTGGGTTAATATTTTTTAGTTCAGTATAGATATCTGAAAATGCAATATACAGAGGTTGTGGGAGCTGATCTGGCATATCCAAAAGAGTTATCTCTATAGACTGAGTCGAAGTACCTACTCGGCAAGAAGATCAGCCACTTGTGGAGCTAGGAAGCTGGATTTTTTATTTAAAATGAAGCTGGGTGGTTGTTTAATGGAGTTTTGTAAGGAATTTATGTATGAATAGAAAGCTTTGAGATTGTGCCACAGAGATACCTCCGTTTCTCTGATGTTCTCTCATAATTTCCTGAAAAACTTTCAAACCTTCTCGGCGCTTTTTTGGGTATGGAGGTGAATACTTTAAAAATTATTTCTCAATTGAAGTGCAAGTCCCGAAGAATACAGAGTAATATGGATTCTCATTTAGGGAAAAATAAATCTAAAAAAAACTGCACAAGAAAAAATAGCAAAAAAAAAAATGACGAAAGAATTTCCTACGGGATGGATCTCATAGAAATCCGTGGATATAAATGTGGAGACCTGTGGAAATCCATGGGTATCTGTGGAGATATTATGAATATCCTGTAGAGATACATGGAGATCCGGTTGAAATACGTGGAGATCCAAGAACGTCAGCTGCAAGAAAAGCGTAATTCCATGCGCACATCACTCTAACTGGTAGGTATCTACCGTCGATCTTAATATGTTTGTAGAAGATATACAGAGGTCCATGAAAATCCAAATGATCTCCATGGAGAAACAAGAATATGTCTGAAGATCCCAGCATATCCTTGGAGATCCATGGAAATGTATGGAGTTTCAAAAGGATCTCCACCAATGGAGATTTTTCTATAGCCTCCTCGGTTTCGTTTTTCATCATCATCATTTCCACAGTGGCTACCCCCTAGGGCGTAGTCACTGCGTAGTGGAAATCTTCTTGTAACTCCATAGATCCCCATGGATATTCTTAGATCTCTAGAAATATCCTAGGCTCTCTAGGCATATCCTTGGATTTCCATGGAGATCATTTGGATTTCCATGCATTTTCGTGTACCTCCATATACGTTAACAAACATGGTAGGTACTAGTGCAAATGATGTGCGCACGCAATTACGCTTTTCCGATTCTACACGACTGCATCCGAAGTTCTTGGATCTCCACGGATATCCATAGATTTCTACAGATTTCTATTCACAGTGACCAAGTACCTACCTCCTCGGTTGAAGAAAATCTTGATGATATAGAAGCCAATATAAAAATAAAAAGAGCGCCTCAATATGGAAGACGCTTATGAGATGACCCTAAATCTAGTTGGGAAAACGATGAAACATCTTACTTAACTGATAAGTAAAAATAAAGACAATACAGGAGAAGTTGCTTTTATAATATATAATTTTGGAAAGTCATATCTATCCATCTACCACGAAATAATTTTCAATAAGGCTTTGCAGGCACAATAACTGAAAAATTATTGGAAATATATTGATTAGAAGCTTGATGAGTTTTAGAATAATTTTATGAAAATCCATAAGCTCCATGTTTGGAAATCGTGCTGGTCATGCCATTCCCTTCTGCATTGAAATAAATATTTCATATATGCCTTTTCGATCTCCTATACTAGATAGAGAAATTGATGGAATAACAAAGAGGAACAATGAACCAATTAGGCACTAGCTGACGTCACTCACATAACCTCACTTTCGATGGGGGACAAACAAGTCGTTTAAGGACTATTTACAGCACTGAAAACTGTGGCACTTAGTATAAAAAACTCAATGATAAAGGTATCATTGAGGCCAGTGTGTTTTAATGATATGTTTATCCCCTTATGGAAAGTGATGTTATGTGATTTGTGATGTAATAGCTAACGTCTGTGGTTATAAATAGCTCTTCAAAGGCTTTTTTTGTCCCCCAATCGAAAGTGCGGTTATGTTTGTGACATCAGCTAGTGTACCTAATTTTAATAAATCTTGATAACGGAGTAGGAGTCAATCTTGCATAAATTGAATAATTCCTGAAGTTGCCTCGATACTTTAAAGTTCCAAGTGATAGTCACTGGAATGATTCTGAGAGTTTTTCGCCTCTCCATCAGTTACATATTACTGCATATTAGTGGCACTGGTGGGTGGCAGTAACTGATTTCACTGGTACTACATATATAGTTTTTGCCACTATAGAGTAACAATTAAATAATACTACTTAGTTCCAGTAACTACCTAAATGTTATTTTAACTTTGGGTGTTTAAAGTTCCAATAAATGGTATCGGTTCGGTAACAATTTAACGTATGGAAAATTAAGAATAAAGAAAAGTTGAAGATCATGTATTATACATAGTTGTTTACATCCGCTTAAAAATTAAGGAAATTAACGTGACACGCGAAAAACTCGGGCCAACTTCATCTTAAGGAAATCCGCGCGTTAAGGTTTCTGTACATATAATTTGACTTGACAGTTAAGTGGATGTAAATGACCCTTAAAACTCAACATGTATTTCAACCAAGTATCCATGTATCTCCACGGATATCCACATATCTCCATGAGATCCTCATGCCTTAGGACATAATGTTTCCACAGTGAAAATACTCTTTCGGTTGAAACAAATCTTAATGATATAGAACCCAATGTAAAGATTAAAAAAAAAAATCCTTGAATATGAAAATGCTCAAAAGATGACACCAAATCTGGTTAGGAAAATGATGAAACATCTGAGTCAACTGATAAACATAATATAAACAATTCAGA